ACTTCTTCAGATGCAAGTCTTGCATCTGAAGAAGTGAGGTTCTTACCCACGAAAGCTTATGCTCCCAGTACTTCTGTTAGTCTCAAAGGTGTCACAGGACCCTCTGTTGCTTTTTACAGATAGCAAGTGTCAAAAATCGAGACAGGAGATGTGTGTGTGTGGTGTGGGGGGGGGGAGTGGGGTAATAGGTGCCTATGTGAGAAAAAGACCCCAAAAATCGGGACTCTCCCTATAAAATTGGGACATCTGGTCACCCTACTTGACTGTCCTTGGCAATGGGAGTTTCCCATTCCCTCAAACAGAACTCCACTGATCCTGCTTCTCCTTCGTTAAGTTCTGCAGCCCAAGCAGGGATTAATCCATGACCCATGGTCCTAGGCAGTGAGAAGGTTTGGGCAGGTCCATGAGCATTACATTGCCCTTTGGGGGACAGGTCTCTCAACCTAAGATTAGAATGGACATCCTTTGTTGCGGAGCCAGGCTGGGTCATGCAGCTTTGATGGACTAAACACTGCAGAAGTTCCTAGGACTTTATATAGTAGTAGAAATGTACATGGTAGTTCATAGAATGGTGGAAGGGAAGGACGGGGGCGGAGTTTCTGTCCCAAACACCTAACAATCTAATTTAGGAAAACATTGATAAATGGGACAATGGTCAAGGCTTTTCATGTTAAAAGACAGGAAAGTTAAGCCCGATGTTCTTTTAAATCAGGAAATGCAACCCTATGGTACATGAACCTAATTAAAGTGCAAGTTCCTTGGCAACTTGATTTTTACTTTTGGCTCTTTTCCTGATGTGTGGAAAGAATGATTGCTATACTCGCTGGCTTACAAGGACAATCATTCTTACTTTCTTAATAGCTTTTGCTTCCAAAATCTTCAGGTTAAGTGGTTCAACCTCAAATTTGATATGATTTTTGAAGACGGGATGCTGGATCAGTTCATTTTAAAATCAAACAAGCAGTTGCTCAATGAACAAAATGTACAGTAAGGATCAGGTTACTTACTTCTGCACATTTTCCCATCTTCTTGTAGTACAAATCCCTCATGGCACTTGCAGACGTAGGAAGGGTCATTATTAATGCAAATATGTTCACAGCCATGATCAACCGTTTTGCAGAGGTCTTTATCTGAGAGAGAGTTGCTAGTTAAAATGCTTTTATAAATGGGATTACAAGGACAATCTGCCATGAAATATCAGGTTACTTACTTCTACATGTTTTCCCATCCTCTCTCAGTACAAATCCCTCATGGCACTTGCAGATGTATGAACTGTCAGTATTAACGCAAATATGTTCACAGCCAGGGTCAACTGATTTGCAGGCATCCTTATCTGGGAACAGATTAGATATTTAATATTTTATAAATGCAAAAATTACAAGGACGATCTTCCAAGGAAAGGGCACTTCAGATTTTCATTCTCTCATGTAGTGATATCAGCATGAAGTGTACAGTAAATATCAGGCTACTTACTTCTGCATGTTTTCCCATCCTTTCTTAGTATGAACCCCTCATGGCACTGGCAGGTGTATGAAATGTCATCATTAACACAAACCTGTTCACATCCGTGGTCAATGGACTTACAGAGGTCTTTATCTGAGAACAGTTGAGAGTTGGCTGGTTAGAACTACTTTGCATTTATAAAAGATTAGACAGATATTTCTCAAGTAAGAAAGCAATGAAATTCCTTCTTTTTTTGTCCTCCGTAGACATAAATGTACTTCAAAGATCAAGCTACTTACTTCTGCATGTTTTCCCATCCTCTCTTAGCACAAATCCCTCATGGCACTGACAGGTGTATGAATTATCATTATTTACACAAACATGTTCACAACCATGGTTGACTGATTTGCAGACGTTCTTATCTGGGAATAGTTAAAATATTTAATATAGTTTGCTAGTTAAAACATATCTATAAATGTAAAAATTACAAGGACAATCTTCCAGAAAGAGAGCAATGAAGTTCCTTCTCTTTTTGTCTGCTGAAGAAACAAATGTACAGTAAAGATCAATCTACTTACTTCTGCACGTTTTCCCATCCTCTCTCAGTACAAATCCCTCCTGGCACTTACAGATGTAGGAATTGTCATTATTAACACAAATATGTTCACAACCATGGTCAAATGATTTGCAGACATCCTTATCTGAGAATAGTTGAGAGAGTTCGCTAGTTAAAACACTTCTACAAATACAAACATTACAAGGATAATCTTCCATTAGAGATCAGACTACTTACTTCTGCACGTTTTCCCATCCTCCCGCAGTACAAATCCCTTACGGCACTTGCAGATGTAGGAATTGTCCATATTAACACAAACATGTTCACAACCATGGTCAACTGATTTGCAGAGGTCTTTATCTGAGGATAGATTAGATATTTAATACAGTTTACTAGGGACATTCTTTCAGTAAAAGAGCAATGAAGTTCTTTCTTTCTTTGCCTGCTGCACACACAAATGTATGGCAAAAATCAGGATACTTACTTCTGCACGTTTTCCCATCTTCCCGCAGTGCAAATCCCTTACGGCACTTGCAGATGTATGAATTGTCACTATTAACACAAACATGTTCACAACCATGGTCAACTGATTTGCAGAGGTCTTTATCTGAGAATAATTTAGACAGAAAAGAAAGTTTGCTAGTTAAAATTTTTATAAATGCAAAGGTTAAAAGGTCTTAGTTTTCCAGTGAAAGAGCCCTGCAGCTCATAATCTTTCATGTGTTTGCTCAGTGGAATCCAGCAATGCATTTCCAACAACCTCTGACTCTTTCATCTTTTGTTTTTAACAAGCAAGCACATCTTCCTCCTCCTCTTAATCCATGGTCTCTTTATTAAGGGGGAAAAAATCAGAAAGCATAGTAACTAGGGGCTAGATTTTCAAAGTTGTTTAGGCGCCTAAAGATGCAGGTAGGCCCCTAGTGAGATTTTCAAAAGTACCTAGGTGTCTAACTCTCACTGAAACCAAGGGGAATTAAGTGCCTAAATGCCACTGAGGAGCTAGGTATAGTGCTTTTGAAAATCCCCTAGGTGAGCACCTAAATACCTCTAAAAAAATCCAGCCCTGGGTCACTGGCCTCTAAGGAGTAAGAAGATTTTGAACTGTCAAGTTATTTACATTTCAATCCAGCTTTTCCTGTGGAAAACAAGATATTTATCATCATCTTACTATCTTCAAGCAAAAATACCTGCTGAAACCCAGAACACCCAGGCTTTTTGCCTCTGTGGTTAAATAGATATTTGTTTTTTTGTAATAAAATAGGGTTACAAAAGCTCAGCTTATGTGGGGTTTAAGGTTGGTGTAAATGATCTGTTGTATTATGTGCTGTGATGCCCACAGGAAATCGTCAGCTGATAATGGGTAGGCAGATGGCCAGTGAGGACTACTGATATTTCATTTAATTTTAGCTATGACTTATACTGTATTTAAAACAAAACAAAAATTAAAAGCTAAACAATCATGTACTAAATATCTTTGTTATGCTCATTTTCCTTCCCCTTTTCTCTCTGTTTGTTATACTCCCTTGTTCCAGCTTGTTTTAAGTCCTGCACAGAGCTTGTCCCGGGATCCACTCACCATTAGGGCACTTCCTCCTGGCCATTCTGGGATTAGCACCTTCCAGCGGCTGCACACACCTCTGGTAGCTTGTTGCACGCTCCGTTGCTGCTCTCTCTCCAGGAGCTACAGGTTCCACTTTGTGACTTGGCCCTCTGGCCAGCTCACTGTGCTCTTCCCCTTGCAGGTATCAAAGTCTTTCAGGGCAAACTGTCTCAGGCAGTCTGCGCTCCACTGTCTGGTCTGTGCCACTTCCCCAGTGGCTTTGGGGAAACCGGGGCCCGCCCTCTAATCTGGCTTCCAGTTCAGGGATCCTCTCATCAGCAGCCAAGGTCTGCACTATCCTATTCCTTGCTGCTTTTCCTAAGCCCTTCCTATCCTTTTTGGCTCTCCCTCCTCTCTGGGTTTTCCAGCCAAAAAATCCCTTCTCCCAGGGAGTAACTGTAGGCTGCTTGCCGTTGTGACCCCAAACACACCTCCCTTCTCCCAGGGAATGACTGCAGACTACTTCCCCACAGCCTCCTCTGCTATCAGCTGCCTGTCTTTATAAACCTCACCCAGCTTCTTCCTCCTCATCCCATCAGGGGATTATTCAGCTGTAGCCTGTCTGGTTAAATGGCCCCGCTCCTCAACTTGGCCTACATTAACCCTTTCAGGGCAAGTGTGGGGTAGAGCTCAATGCCAGTGCAGGAGTCCGCTTGCACGTAACTTCTTGCAGGATCAAGTCCTCAGGTTGTATATACTTTAGGGAAGGGAGCATGTCTTTCTATATGTTTGCATAGTTTAGCACAATGGGGCTCCAATTCTGATTGTGGTTTAATACAAACAGTAAATAATATTATCGATTTAATTTATCACAGTAGTACAGTGGTGGGCAACCTGTGGTCCATCAGCCCGTTAGGGTAATCCGCTGGCAGGCCGCCAGACCGTTTGTTTACATTTGCACGGCCGCCCGCAGCTCCCAGTGGCCACGGTTCACCTGGCCGCCACTTCCCGCAGCTCCCATTGGCTGGGAATGGTGAACCGTGGCCACCGGGAGCTGCAGGTGGCCATGCAAATGTAAACAAAAAGTCTGGCGGCCCGCCAGCAGATTACCTTGACGGGCTGCGGGTCACAGATTGCCCACCACAGCTGTAGTATCTGAGTTTTTTAAAAGCTTTCCTAACAACATGCTTTTTAACATCAGATGAGAATCAGTTTAATGGATTAGACCTCAAACAAATGGGAATACAATTACATTACTATATACATTATATCTAGGTGACTTTTAAAGAAGTAAGATACAATGACTGAGCAGTAGAGAGGGCTGTAATACTGAAGAAAATTTTGCAATGATTTTTTCAGATTTCATTACAGTCTTGCCCAAATTATGCAATCCCTTTTTAACGTTCTTTGTCACACAAGCAGGGCAAAGAAATGGAAACGCCATTCATATTGTGAGCTCCTTGGTTGCAGTACAAGGAGAGAGGCCATAGAAATTTTAATCTTTTTAACCTAATTTGTGGAGAAAATTACTGTTGCCTGTTGCAAAATACAATTCTGTACTAATGTACCTTTGGTCCCCAGTTTCAATCCCAGAGTCCAGTTTCAGAGCTACTCATTTACATTGCACATACTGATTTTATACTGTATAGATGCAAGCAACAAAAGATATGGTGCCATGTCACTTGGTCTGATAAAAACTTACGTTTACAAGTTTTCCCATCATCACGAAGCTCATATCCTTCAAAGCACTGACAAGTATAAGATTTTTCACTGTTTACACACAAATGTTCACAACCAGGGTCACTCAGTGCACAATAGTCCACTCCTGCAAATGATTGGAGTTATAAAAAGAAGTTAAAAATTCAAGAATTCGCAGCTGGTCATCTCTAACACAGCTGAATGGCATCTGAACAAGCAAATACTGTATTGTTTGAACAATAATTCAGTTCTTTATCAAAAATAAATATACCTTTAAGAAACAACAAAGGAGTTTTTAGGTATGATTTAGAGTGAACCCTGTGGGCAGAGATGAGAAAAGCTATCTTTCTGTTTGTAATAGCTCAGAAAAGAGTCCAGATACTTCAATATTTTTTGAATAAACTATAAAGATATTTTGCTAATGATGCATATAATACACAGTTACAACCACAAGGTATCAAAACAACAGAGGTTTTCTTCTAAACATTCACCTTTCATTGATGATTCTGCGTACATACTCGATGTGAAAGCATGAGGTGGGTGAATCCCAGAACTCTCAGTGTACCTGATCTCATTGACTTCAATGGATTCTGGATTAGATCATGTGAGCTTTGATGCTGAACAATAATTGACACAAATCATTTTAATTCAGTTACATTTGTCGTCTTGACTTTCCTACGGATTTTCTTTTCTTTAACATGAGACCTAGTGCTCTCCGAGTTCCATACTTGGCATTCTATTCAGCTGTGTGTGAGCTTTGCTGCATATGGAGTTCCATTTGCTATTGTTGCTAGAAGTCAGAACAGAAGCCAGTTTATCACTAGGGTGTTCCCGGTATATATGACAGCAGTCTCTTGATTCAGAAGTGATATATATTAAACACATCTATTCAGCTGCTCATTTAACAGTTATCTGAAAGACCCAAAAATATTTTATGATAATCTAAAAAGATTGCCCATGTGATTTTAACAGGGTCGGCTGGAGCTCAGGAGCAGAACAAAGTCTGTTCCCAGATAGGTGTGCAGAGAGGGGTAAATTGGCAAGTAGAGGAAATACTCAAGAGGGATCAAATTCAGTGTCCAGAGGAGTCCAGGAATCACTGTATAGCTTTAATGCTTCTGATGGGAATCCAAGTAATACCTGGAGGAAACTAAATCACCAGAGTTTAAAAACATCTTTTCTACTACCAAGGAAACAGGACTTTCCATTGGAAAATTGATACAACTCTTAAAACAGCAACTCAGCTGCTTCCCTATATCCATTGGTTCTGCTAGAAGCAGTGGAGCCATCCCTCTCCTCTTTCTGCCCAGAAGGCAGGAGTTCTGTCCTGGTAGCATTAGTTACCCCGCTTCTGTAGGGGTGGATGGATCTCTGTGGACTTCAGGGGGCAGGAGAGGGTGGAGCAAAGGCGTTTCCACCCTCTGATTTGCATTATCTTCCCCTGGATCCTCTCTGTGACTGCAGCTGTGCGGTTGCCAATGGCAGTTTGACTCTTGCCAATGGCAGTTTGACTCTTGCTGAAACTTTATTGCCCAATGGCAGGGAAAGCAGCAGAGTCAGGAGTTGTCCATGCAATCAACGGCTTGGGGAGATGGGGAGGGGCTGGTAGAGTGCTGCCAAAATCGATGGTGAGGCCTGCCAAACTCCTCTAGTCAGTGGGGATAATTCCAGGAAGAGTCAGCAAGGCAAAATTCACTGAGTTTTCCTTTCTCATTGGCCCCTTCTGCAGATTTTTACACTAGAGCGGGCAATTTACCCTACTAACTCTATTAAACTGGAGTGAATCTTAACTCTCATTAGCTATATTAAGAATAGAAACATTGCTAGGGCAAGTTTAATTTCTGATGTATTGGGGCTCCTATGAAAGCTGCATTAGTGACATCTCTACCTAGGACTTTAAGTTCCTGAATAAAGAAGAAAGTCACTTAACATAATGTGTTCATCCACACGCAGGGCTTCCAGAGCATAGGGTCCATTGATTGGTACGTGTGTCCACACATGCAAGAGGGGTAGAAGATGATGAAAGCAGCAGCACAAAATTTGTGAAAAGGACCAATGAGCTGGCTGGCTTTAGAATAATATCTACAATAGATCACTCACCAAAACCCTCCTCTTCAACAGCAAAGAGGACAGGATAAGAATGCCCAGTAACATCTTCCTCCCTGCCAGCAGGAGAGAAGAACAGACAACCAGAGATCCCGAGTGAAGGGTAAATGAGACAGAGGCCTTCCCCACCAAAGAGATTTTAGAGCTGCAGCCTGAAGATGGACACTAAGCTGCTATCTGCAATGCAGTCTGCTATCGGTCACTGACCTACCTGTAGAGAGATCCCAGAGCCCAGGAACTGAAGAGGTGTGTCTGGGGGGGAAGGCACATGGAGCAAGAGCACTGAAAACAGATTTTCCCAGGAAGCACTTATTTGGTCTCTCAGAACACAGGAACACCTGACTGCAGATCTCTTAGGGGACGTGGTCTTTGTTGGAAGATACATATTTAATGGAGAGTGATGATGCATGTTCTTTGGAGGGCTTTGTACATACCTGTATTTTGTGGATGATGGATAGCATAGCCTATGTTGTGTAGGATGCCTGACTAGATGATCATAATGGTCCTTTTTGGCCTTAAAAATCTATAAATATGTATCGATAACCAGGAATGGGAGGATTTTTTGTACATATATGGGGCGTGAAGATACTTGGGGAGCATAGACTCTTGTAACTATATTTCTATGGTCTGTACAGTCTTTTATTAATAGTTCAGCTGGGGTTTTCAAAGGAACCTGAAGGGAGTTAGGTGCCCAAATTTCATTGATTTATGCGCATAACTTCCTTAGACTCTTTTGAAAACCCCAGCCTTTGTAATTTCATTGGCCAGTCTTCTATTTCTAATTCCATCTTCCTGTAACTGTCCATGCACAGGTGCCAACTTCTAGTTTGCTCTGGGGGTGCTCCACTCCTGCTCCGGCCAGAGACCCCACTCCACTCCACCCCTACTCCACAGACCCCCCCCCACCCTGTCTCTTCCCACCCCTGCTC